TGCCTGCTAAAGCAGACTAGATAAGAATTCCATACATTTTCATTAACGCGCTAAGCTTTGTGTATATGTGAGAAGCTAACTTTGCTGCTCTCTGCCAGCTTTAGGTTTGATTTGGCAGACAACGTAAATAAAAAACACTAGCCTTGATTTGATGAGCCACGTGGCTGCTCCAAAAATTGAGGTTTATTTGAACAATAGGAACCAGCTCTGTCCTCCCTGAAAGATGGTCAGATGAAAGAACAAAACCATACATACTTAGTTTGGAAAAAGGAGAGTAAGGAAATGATGGGCACCTGAAATAGGTTCCTTCCTCCAGACTGACTGATGCAGTAGGTGGATATGTGCCTGACTTCAAAATAAAAAACAAAGCTAATCCAAGACAGCATTGGAAAAAGTCTCAACCAACACCTGGATTTTCCAGCTGTCCTTTGCACTGTTTTCTCAGGAGTGCAATGGTCACAAGAGCAGAGTACCCTGAATCTTTTTTTCCCCTCTCGATTTCCTGTCACCAGAGACCTTCAGACCTTGGTTAGAGCTCTTTGTTGAAGGTGCAGCTGATGGCTGCTCCTTTAACTCTGTTCATAACCCCAAGGCACTGAGGAATCAGACAACACTGGTTCACATCACAGGGTGGATATTCTCATGGGTTTCCAAGCCCACTGTCTCAAGCAGAAAGGAGATTAATGACAGGTAGAAAGAGATTAGACAAGACTAGTCTAGTCTAGCAATGCAGAGCATTTCGTGAGGACATACTGTTCTAGACTTTAGGCCCTTTCCTCCTTCCACGAACATGGCATTATATTGTGACTGCAAACTGAATGTAGCTCTCAACCAAGCACGTCTCCACTTCAGCACAAGAACAGCCACAATAACTACAGCTTATAGAATTTTAGAGGTTGGAATAGACCTTACAGATCACCTAGTCCCAGCCCCCTGCCCTGGGCAGGGACACCTCCTCACTAGAGCAGGTTGCTCAAGGCTTCATCCAACCTGGCCTTGAACACTGCCAGGGTTGGGGCAGCCACAGCCTCCCTGGGCAACCTGGGCCAGTGTCTCACCACCCTTAGAGTAAAGAAACACTTCTATCCTAAATTTCCCCTGCTTCAATTTGAACCCAAATGACAGGTTAAGTCAAAGGAGCTGAGCCACCCAAGCAAACACCACAGAACAACCCTCAGTAGACCCATATTTAACATCCCAAGCCATCTCTTTAGCCCCTGGGTGCAAAAGTATCCTGTCCTAGGAGTGGAAGCAGCTCCCTCAGTGTTTTCTATCCAGCATGCAACCTTGCTGATAACCAACCACCCAATATTAGTAAAACAGTATCAGATTTTATTAAAATCCCATTAAGAGGAAAAACTGAAACCACTTATTATGTTCCACAATTATTGCAAACCAAACTGTTTAAACGAGGGGAGGAGATAATGATATTAACTACCCAACTCAAAGCAATCCTCTGTGGTATGAGTCTAAATATTCTCTTGGCTGAAATTTATGCAAATTGAATTCATCTATCGTTAGTTATTACTAATCTAGCTATATAAAAACACTTTTCTGTAACAATCAGTTCTTTCAAATGCTGTGTTTTAATTAGACATGGGACATTATTAAGCTAAGTCAATAAAGTACTGTAAATATGTACAGTAACATTCCATGCATTGTTTTGGCTGCATATTTGTAGGAACATGGAGTTTGGTGGAGGTTAAAAAGAATTGGTAGTTGGTATCAACTAGTTTTTGCAAATCTCTTCACCAGTGAAAATACCTCCAGATCCTTAATCTATTTCTGCTCATCAAGACATATTTAGCATTTCTACATTTTGCATATCATAATGTATTTCACTTCTCTATCATTCTAACACTATGCTGAGCCTTTTCCTGCAGACATTTTGTTCCAACACTTATTTTAACTCCTCAAGGACCATTTCCTGGTCTTAAGGGGGGAAAAAAAAAACGGGGGTGGGGAGAGGGAAGGGTAAGAGGCACAGCACATCTTTCAGCTCTTTTAAATCAGCTTATTTCACATGATCACATACAGGCACTGGCCCACAGGGCATAGTCTGAAAACAGACAACATACTGTCCTGCCTTTGTCAGGATAACAAGCCAAGTGCAGCAACCTGCCCATGTGCTACACATTGTGAGACAAGGAGCACAAGAAAAACGGCAGCCTTGGTAAGGTCAGAGCCTCCCAGATGATCTCCAGGACATGTATAAGGTTAAGGTCACGAAGCTCTATAACTACAGCTAAGTTTATCTATAGAATCATAGAATTTAGGGGTTGGAATGGACCTTACAGATCATCTAGTCCCAACCCCCTGCCCTGGGCAGGGGCAGCTCCTCACTGGATCAGATTGCTCAAGGCTCAGCCAACCTGGCTGTGAACACTGCCAGGGTTGGGGCAGCCACAGCCTCCCTGGGCAACCTGGGACAGGGTCTCACCAACCTTAGAGTAAAAAACTCCTTTCTGATGTCTAACCTAAATTTTCCCTCCTTCAATTTGTCCCCATTACCCCTTGTCCTGTCCCTGCAGCTCCTAACACAGATCCCTCTGCAGTTTCCCTGGAGCCCCTTCAGCTCCTGGAAGGTCTCCACACAACCTGCTTAGATTCACCACAAACTAAAGACATAGGAAATAGGTTCTCCACCTATAGCCAAATGCCTAAGTTAGGCACCAATACCAACTTGATGGATTTCCAAACAACCATTAGGATCTTCCAATATCTACTCAGAATCAGGGCAATTATTTTTACATTTTAGAGAATAGTTCTGACTTCAAACAAGTGTATCTATACACACCCACATGTATTTAATGCTTTGACAGTTTTTCAACAGAAAACTGACCAAGTGACCACATGCTAGTCCTAGTTCTCCACATCTGGAGCCACTCAACTAAAGGCCATGTAGACCTGCAGCACTGTGAAACTGCTAAACATCTCTGGCTACTCATTATAGCTCCTTGTCTCGTTACCCCATTGCATTTTCAGACATAAGGTTTATCCTATCAACCTCATAACTGGAGAATTTTGTAAAAGCAAAGCTTTCAGGAAACATATTTGTGATTTGTTTTCTGTCATAGAGACATATTCCCTACATAATCATGACTTTCAAACTAGAATACCACAACAAGAATTTCATAGAATCGTGGAATTTTAGGGGTTGGAATGGACCTCATAGATCATCTAGTCCCAACCCTCCATGCCAATGTGTGTATATATCTGTAATTTAATAGTCATCACTATCTTTACAATTATTTTTTTAAAAAAATCAGTAATTAGACAGAACAAAAAATCAGCTGATTGTGTGGTTTCATTCTAGCTGACCTTTGAGATTTTTGAGAAGTCTTTCCCGGGGACTTCTTTGAGAACATCTACTCTAATACTGCTCCAACATTTCCAAAGAGATCTGAAGTGAATGCAAAGCGAAATGAGGTAATTACATGTAAATGGAACTTTCCAGTGATCACAAACCAAGATCAAAATCAGAATTAGGAGTATTACACAAACTAGCTCAGCTTCTTTCACTGAGATTTCTTCCAAGAGCTACAAACAGGTACTAGAAATTAAAGTATGTCTCTGTTGCTGTACTAGGAGGCAGCACTGGAGTCAGGTGCTCTGGGGTCTAAATTCTTATTTGAAGTCAAAAGACATCTCATAACGTCAGAACTGAGGCCTTTGGGAATCCACAGAAACCTCTTGAACTGAAAGCTAAGGACAGCAGAGAAACAGGAGCTTGTGCCAAGCAGTGAGAGAAAACATCATGCACACATGGAGACTGAAGAGTTGCTCTAACATTGGGATTCCACAGTCTGAGCCCAAAAGTACCTTCTTCCCATTGGAGAGGGACATGAGAGGTGACAAAAAGTACAATTCCTTGGGGAATGGTATTTTAAAGACATGAATGGTCATCTATACCCAAAACACATCCACCCTCTTAACTTCTACTTAGCCCCTCAAAAAAGCAGCAGCACAAGGCAAAACCTCAAAATGCCATGTGAGTTTCTCTCTTGGCAGTACAGTTTTATATACTTGAACTCCAAAACTGACAGCTTTTCATTGAAAAAAAAAAGAAAATCCATAACAAAGTGAGTTATTTTGTACTTGCAGTTTTGATTTTAATTTCCTAATTTGAGCAAGATTGTCATTGATTCATTTTACACATCACAGTCCTAGTTCTGGGCACACAAGATTGGAATCACAAACATACACTTCTAACCGTGCATAAAGTTTAGTAAATAAGAACAAATTCAATCATTAGCTGCCTAAATAAATAAATCAGTCACAGTAGATGCCAACATATCAGTCTTTCATTTAATATTCATTACTGTATCTCTAAACAATATATCAGTAAAAGAAACCTATTCTTCCTTCACAAATGTATTTATTTAGTGATCTTTAGTGTCCTTTCCAAATGTTTGTAGACCATCAGGACCACAAATACTGCTTTTTCTTTTTAAAGAAACAGTTCTATTTCCAGCTGGATTGATTGCTTTCCCATCTCTATTTTAGTGTGTTCCTCAGAGACATCGAGTGGCTCCACTGACAGTAAAATATGCTAAACAAATGACAAGTCACTGAGTAAATTAGCATCTACTCTCTGATCAGCTGGGTCATGTTTTCTTTTCAAAACCCATGGCCTCTTGATAGAAAATAAGGAGTATTTGATGGGCCTTATTAGAAAAATCAATATATTGATGCCCATGTCTGAAACATCTGCATAGTAATAGATTCTGTTAACCCATTAAGGAGAAAATTAAGATATGTTTACACATTATTAATTCACCGCGAGCAGAGACAATTTATTCACGACTTTTCTCAAGAGTTTAACAGAAAAGAAATCGTAATATCTGTGTTTAATGGTGTGGTGACATAAGCTGAAAGACGTTTCAATTTTTTGCCAAGGAAAGGGCAGAATTCCACCAACGTGAAAAATACAAACACACCAATGATACTGTTCGAAATAAGATTATTAAAGCACTTGCTACAAACACTGCATTACTTACCAAAAAACTTCCAAAAGCTGAGTTAAATATAGCAGCTGCCTGAAGAGAAAAAAAAAAAAAGATAAATATCACCAATGGTAAAATAGCTCCAGTATGAGAACAAAGTGTTATTCCCCTGCCCAGTGAGCTATTAGATTCTCCAAACACACACACACAGACCATTAGGCAGTTAGCCACTGCTTAAAAAATTGCCAGTGGCCTGTAACTTATGAAGACTGATAGGTTCTAGTTTATGCATTCATAAATAATGTGCTGAAATGGACAAAAGCAGGAGGAGAAGAAAATTCTTGCCGATAGACTTCAGAGGAATACCCACAAGAGCTAAGAATGTGACACCCAAGCTGAGTGTCACTGCTTTGGCTCTAATTTGCCAGGAACATTTGCACACACTGACCTAGTAATTAGAATAAACATCATCTGATTTAACTAAAATGCTGCATTTTCATACACTTTTAACAATTTTAATGAAATATTGATCAGGCAAAGTAATTTAATTGTTCGTCATTATAAAGTATTGGCAGATTCAGAAGCCCCTGTAGTTTGATCAGTAAATTTAAAATAGGAACAACACACCCAACCAAAAATGAATCCACAATGACCCCACAGTTCTGAGCTCAAAATGTCACTACTTTTTACTCCACATTCTTCTAAAATAAGAAAATAAACAGTTTTGATAATGACTTTAGAAGTGTTCGTGCTTACCTAAATATCCAGGAAATATAAGGTAGCAGTTATTATTTCTTAATATGAACTCATTAAAATCCAGGAAGTTAAAACTTGAGTCGTGCATAGCTTCCCCCAATTACCAAGAAAGAACAGAAACTCTTGCATGGCAGCCCAGCTGATGATGAAAAGCCACACAGTAAAGGTAAGAGGAAAGGGAGGAGGGAAATCTACCATTTAGGTGCCGATTTAGAGCAGAGTCAAATTAATCACCCTGGACACCTCCAGCCACAGATTCATAACAAGTGGACACTAGTGAGTTCAGCAAGTTTGAATAAAGTCCAAAATCAGGGTAGGAGCAGTAGCTGAACCTGCCTTCTGCTCCATAAGAGGATGCAATGAAAATGAATGGGTAATGAGATCCTTGGCTCTAGAGAGCTTAGCCTTCTTATTCAAGTTCATAATTAATTCAAAGCTTTGATAATTTCATTAGATTCCTCCTCTGCTGGCCCTATCAATAAAAGATGGCACTGGACCACAGCTCCTCAGTGGCCCAAATACAAAAACAAATGCAGACTGGGAAACCTTTGCTGACTTGCTTACTAACAGGGACAATGGCATATGGCACTGCATGTTGCGGAGGGAGCGTCGGAATAGATACAGCTAAATAAAACATTATAGTTGACAGTTGTAAACTACAGCAACATATTTTAACACCTCTTTCTCATCAGCATTCCTTTTTTGAACAAAAAAAAAAGGCACAAGTCCAAACAGCTTCTCTTGCCAGAGATCATAGCTGAAAGGACGAGTGAGTAGCACGAACAACTACTTCAACAAGTGTGAATGAAATCAGATTTTCTACTCGTACTTGAAGGTGTGCAGCTGACACTTTCATGTGGCAAGGCAGAGACACATTACACCATCCCACACAAACCCAGAGCATGGGATCAGCTGCAGCACAGGAGATGTCCCCACAGGTATCTTTTCTTAATATATCCCTCTTAAAGTTTCTAGAATTACAGAATTTTAGGGGTTGGAATGGACCTATCCCGGAATTTATTAGACGAGATATCATCTGATAATAATGTAGCCAGACCTACATTAAAGAAGAGGAAAAGATACACTGGCAACATTTGGGACACCTGGATCAAACACCAACATTTTATCATTATCTGCAGGAAATGAATTAAATTGTTATGTGCAACTCAACTGGAACTACAATTGCATTAACTGCTGAGTGCAGGGAAACAACAGTACCTCATAGCTTTGATGCAGACCACATAAAAAAGTAAACCACTTTTTTGTCATTATGTATATATTGTTTTGACACTAAAACATCTGACAACCTTTAGAGAGGCAACTTCCCTAACTGTACTCAAGACCTGTGCTTACCCCCAGGCATCCCATGGCTGGGAGAGCACATGCTATGGACACTAAGGCTTGTCTGGCCCACAGCTGTCCCTGCTCTGTAGAAAGGACATTCCAGGGCTAAGGCCATAGATGCAGAGTAATGAAACTTAACAGCTTCAAAATGTCTTGGAAAGGAAGTGTTGTGGTTTAACTCCAGCTAGCAACCAAACCCCACACAGTCACTGACACACTCCTGCAGCAATGGGATGGGGAAGAGAATCAGAAGGGTAAAAGCTAGAAAAACTCATGGGTTGAGATAAAGACAGTTTAATAGAGAAAACAAAAGCGGCACACACATGCAAAGCAAAACAAGGAATTAATTCACTGCTTCCCACGGGCAGGAGGTGTTCAGCACCTCCAGGAGAGCAGGGACACATCATGTGTAATGGTTCCTTGGGAAGACAAATGCCATCACTCCAGATGTCCCTCCTTCCTCCTTCTTCCCACTCTATACACTGAGCATGATGTCCTATGGTATGGAATATCCCTTTGGTCAGTTTGGGTCACCTGTCCCAGCCGTGTCTCCTCCCAGTCTCCCATGCACCCCCAACTCCCTCACCAGTGTGGCAGGACAGAAAACAACAAAGGCCTTGGCTCTGTGTAAGAACTTCTCACCAACAACAAACACAGCTCTGCACTATCATCTCTGTGCTCTGCACAAATCATAAACATAGCCCCATACTAGCCACTGGGAAGAAAGTTAACTCTTACTTCAGCCCAAATCAGCACAGGGAGCAGCCTGGGCATCACACAAAGCTGCTGTGTATCTCCACAATCATCTGCAGGTAAAAACCTTAGTGCTAGTGGGATATACCACACACTAGTGAGATATACAGCTCAAGCACAAGGAGTAAGACTAATTTTCCTGTTTAACACATATGAAGAAGGAAGAAAAAACCCAGAAGAGCAGAAAAAGAATTGGAGAGACACAAGGACTCTAGTAGTTCTACTGCAGGATTATGCAGTAGAGGACAGAGAACGTGATGTGGTAGTATAACATTTCACAGTGTCCATGCTGTTATTGCAAAATTTAATACAACTGTGTCTCCTATTTGACAGGGAGGAGAAAAAGAAAAAAGACTGGAGGAAGCAATGAAAAAGGAAGTTTTATCTCCCCAAAGATATCAGTCTAGTTCAAGAAGATGGAAGAAGAAGGCAGGACACCAGAAGTAGCTTGAATGAGTTGGCAGAGTCCCTTTAAACAACTCCTTCAATCTCCTATTTAAAAATAAAACCTCATGCAAGTGTTACCACAGCTCATGTCTTAACTGTTGTTTCCAATAATATGATGTTACAGCTCTGTAGAAAGCTATTTGCCACAGCACTGTTACTGCAAACAGAATATAAATATACCTAATAAGGTTTAATCTGTGTGGCTGTTCATAACTATTCATCTGCGTTCAGACAGGAAAAAAAATATATATATTCAAGTTCCTGGTTTTCAGCACTAAATTGAATCAGGTGTCCTCTTCTCTTAAGAAAATTAAGTTGCTTTTGTGCAAGAGTGTTTTAATGAGAACAGAGCCTGCCGACATTGATAAATGGGAATGACACCAGAGAGAGCATGTAAGCAGGACAATATGTGCATGTTACAGTCTTACAGGCTATTTTTCACTGACTATCCTGAATGACTTCGCTGTTTCTTAAGGGGCCTATTAATCTCAAATTTAGTTATTACACAACGTTTATTTGAACATATATTCTGTGGATGATGACAGTTAATAAAGGAAATCTTTTACAAGCTGTATTTTTACATATTGTTCCAACTGCAGCTCCCAGTCATTCTACTGTATTGATGGAATAACCTAGTTATGATGCAGCTTTAAAAAAGGCACATATATTCAGATTCTTTTCTAAGCATATGGGGACTCTTAAATAACTGATAAAATGCATATAAAAATCCTACTACAGCATGGCAAAAATGAAAGAGGCAGTGTTAACTGCTCAGCAGAAATCTCTAGCTGCCCAGTTGCCCCCTCAAAGAGAAAGCACATTCCTTTTTATCACTCCAGCATCATCTCTGAGAAACAAGTATGGTCTAGATGTATATACACTCCACACTGGATTCAACAGAAGTTGGAGTATGCATCTTCCACATGAACCTGGCCCATGTGCTGTATATGTGATAGGGCACCTCAAGAGTGGTACTTCATTTGAAAGTAAAAGAGAACCAACAAAACAAACCAACCAACTCACACACCAAGCCAAAACTATGAAAAAAAACCCTCAAAACACCCCAAACCCCAACAAAAGCAAAGCAAGAAAACCCACAAAACCCACCAAAACCCAGACACTGATAACTAAATTTAGAGCCCAAATAAATCTGATAAAAGATGTAAGCTGATGTTCAAAAAGTCTCTCACAGAAATACCGTATTACTCTAATCATTTAAGTGGATGTACATAACATTATCCTTTTAAAGAAACCAAACCATCAAAAACTCCACACCACACACAAAAAACTTACATCCATCAACCAAGGAACTTCCAGAACACCAAAAAAAAGCCTCACCAAAGTAGGGAGGGGATAATGATTTTATCCACTGCTATGTCCCCTGTGGTCCAACACAATTTGTTGGCTGAGAAAACGATATCACCTAATCCCCAACCTGCCTCTAGAGCTGTGCTGACAATATGAAAACATTTCTTTACTTCAACCATGTTCAATAACCATCAGTTTTATGGAAATGACACTGAAAAGACACCCGAAAATGAAAACAGAGTAACTAATATGTTGGTTGTTTGCATTTCAGCGGGGGAACATAATCCAGAGAATGATGCCCTCTAGAACACCTCACCGAGCCATCCAAAGCTGCATGCACAACACATTGGTTGCTGGCAGAAGTTGTCATTGACCAAGCAGATGTTCATGCTGCTTCAGCCAGGCATTCTGCCACAAGCAGTGCACAGACACAAGCTGAGGCCTCTGCTGGCAGAGAGTTATTGCCTCCTACCTCTTACTAGCCA